TGGGCASGGGAAGTGCAGCAGCAGCAGCACAGAGGGGCTCAAAGCTCGGATTCTGGCCCAACAGAGCCTCCCATTCTGTGCTTCCAGCCCCAAATCCCACGCTTTCTCACTTCAGAGCGTCCACGTTCAACCTGCCAAATGCCACTAAATCTGCAAATTAAACCTCTGATTACAGAATTCCTTTTGATGTAAAAAAAATGTGGGGATTTTTAAAATGTAATTATTCATACACTAAGATTTTAATTGTGCTTCTTTTCTCCCTCTCTCGCCTTTTTTTTTTTCCCAGGGCAGGTGATTCCCCTTCTGGGCCTGCCCGGGCAGTGMAGGGGCCGGTGCAGGAAGGAGCCTGCAGGACTTTCTGATGCGGCTCAGGATGCTCCATTCCAGGAACTGGGAAGGGGCCTGGCTAGCAGCTGGTGTCCCAGCCTCGGCCCACAGCCCCCTCCCCACGGCAGCCAGTCGACATCAGGGGGAGTCCCTCCTGTGGCACGTTGGGCCGGGTCTCGGACGCAAGACCTGGAGCCAGCCGGTCACACTCTGGAACCCACTGTGGAGGAGGACAGTAGAGGTGGGGTGGGGCTGCCCTCTCTCTGGGCCATTCCTCCTCGGTAACTGCCAYCCACTGTGGCTCTGCAGATTGGTCATGAGGAGCCTCACTTGTAGAATCTTAGCACCCTGTCATTCCCTTCCTCAGTGAGCGGTCCTTGTGTTGAAGCAGGTATCAGAACTTCCTGTCCCTCACGGCTGGGTGGTCATCTGTCCTAAGGACGGACCACGTTCTGCTCCCCTACTCACCTGCAGATGGACACTCGGGGGCTTCTGCCTTTGGGCTCCTGTCGATGCCGTGGCTATGTCGTGATGTGTGATGACCTTGAGTCCCTGCTTCAGGTCTTTGGGTGCACCCCCAGAAATGGGGCTGCTGGATTGTAGGGTACAGACTGCTCTTTTAGACGTGACCACTAACCCATTTTATTCCACTGTTTAGAAAAAATCCAACCCCTCTGGGAACCCAGCAGGATCTGCACGATGGGGTCCCTCAGGGAGCTTATCCCACCCCACTTCCCAGAAGCCCCGGCCACAATCACACTGACCTCCTTGGGGACTCCCGACACCCAAGCCCTGCCCTGCTGGGCCCCTCTCTAATGCTCTCTGCTGGGTTCTGATTCCCAGAGCCCTGGTCAGCCATACGGAGCAGCCCTGCCCTCCCCTCACACACTGCGCCCTGGGCCTGTGCCCCTCGTCAGCCCCCATGCTCACTGACCTGTGTCTTTCTCTATTGCCTCCTCCTATTGTCCTCGGGGGTGAAAGCTCCGGAGCAGCAGGCACTTCACCTGGTCACCATGTGCCTAAAACCCACCTGGCTTGTAGCACTGCTCCTTCTACCAGGCTGCAAGAGTGAGGGGATGAACCCACACGGGCTTTCCACGTGCTAGAGAGGGCACAGGGTTCTCCAGGTCAGCATCGAGGCCCGGGCACCTAGGAATGGACACCCTCTTTGAAGGCTGGRGAGGCAAATTTTAGATTTGAATTTACTACAGTGAACAAGACTGGAAGGAGTGAGCCGGATTCCTGGATTCCCGACCGCAACCTACACCACAGGAGTCCTGCTCCTGGCTGCAGTCAGGAAGGTCCTTCCTTCTGAGGGCTCTGGAAGAGCTGCAGGCTCCTCTGGCTTCTGGTGGCCAGGGCATTCTCCTGGGTCCTGCCTGTGCAGGTTTGTCTCTAGTCCACATTTCCCCTTTTGTAAGGACACGGTCCTGTTGGGCTGGGGCCATCCTAATGCCTCCCACTGAGATTGCCATTATTTCCAAGCAAGGTCACCGCACAGGCCTAGGACTCACAACTCCGACACCATTTGCAGGTCACAGTTCATCCCAGAAGAGGGAATAAATGTCTGTGTGCGGGGTGGGCTCAGGGGAAGGGGTCAGGGCAGGCGGGTCCTGTCGGTTGCCCTTTCCTCCACAGAATGTCAGAAGCCAAGGCTGGAAAGCCCAGGTCTTGGCAGACCCAGCCACTGAGGCCAGGGAGGGCACCTCGTCTCTGTTCCTATGGCCAGGCCAAGTGCGCTCAGGCCCATCGGGCCAGGACCGGAGGACACTGAGGCAGAGGCTGTACACGGGGACTGTCGGGTGAGCGTCAGGGAACAGACCTGCCAGGAAGCGAGGAAGGCAGGACGTGGGAGAAGCTGGCCTCAGAGCCGCTGGACACAGGCCCCTAGGAGGCCCCTGGGAGTCCGGCTGTGCCCTGTCAGGGCTGCAGCTAAGGTGAGGGAGCATGGATGCYGAAGAGGTTCCGGGCAGAGCACTGCAACGTCCACAACACGGCCCTGGAAACGTCAGGCGCACAGCCAGCGCTGCGATGGGGAGCCYGAGCTTAGCAGGGCTGTGGCCTAAGTGAGCAGCACCAGCCCAGCCAACCGGCTGTGGCGGGGTGGTCCTGGAACAGCAGGTGGAGGAGCCTGTGGCCAGCAGCGCATCGCAGCCTCTGGAAGGAGCAGGAGGCTGAGATCACGACACCTGTATCCTCCAGGCTGCGGAACCCCTGGGACTTCCCATCCCTCCTCCCCTCCTAGAGAGGCCTCCTGGCTCCCTCGGGTCTGAAGACTCTGCACTGTGCTGCCTCTGACCGTGTGAGTATCCAGGATGCCACAACACGGTGCCACAGGCTGGGCGTCCTCAGCTCTCCACCCAGTGCTGGAAACTGTGCCTTCCCGATGAAGGAGTCAGCAGTGTCCCCCAGGGACGGCCAAGGAGAGGTGCTCCCCCCAGGGATGGCCAGGGAGAGATGCTCCCGGCAGGAATGACCATGGAGAGGTGCTCCCCCTAGGGGCGGCCACAGAGAGGTGCTCCCCCCAGGGACTGCCAGAGAGAGGTACTCCCCCAGGGACGGCCACGGAGAAATGCTCCCCCCAAGGATGGCCACGGAAAGATGCTCCCTGGCCAGAAGACAGCTGCCTTCTCCCTGCCCGGGGTCTTCCATCTGCAAGGGTCGGCTCCGACGACAGGATGCTTCCCTCTGAGAACACCTGGGCCAGTGCCTAGGGTCAGGTCCCRGCTGTGACACTCCTCTCCAGTAGCCTCATTCTGCTGGAACGGCCCTTTTGAAGACCTCCAGAGATACCACATTCTGGTCACTGCGGTTAGCACCGTCAGGAAGGGTACACGGTGCAGCCCCTACAACGGCAAGACCAGAACCTTCCACGCTACAGTGACGTGCCTGACACACGCTCTCCAGGGCTCTGTCATTAACTGCCCAGCACTGGACAGAAGCCCACATGAGTGACCRACCTGGTGGCTCCTCTACTCCATCCCTGAGTGTGTTTGGGGGTGTCTTCTAGAAATTGCTGGAGGTAGGCTCTGCCTTCTCCAGGATGCTGCCTTGGGCCTAGCTGGCCACCACAACCACAGCAGGGACTGATAAGCGCTGGGTGTTCCCTGGCTATGGACACCACACCCAGGCAGGAGCGATACTTCTGTCCCAAGGAGTCTCACTCTCTCCCTTGGCAGGACAGGGACAGGAAAAGCCACTGYCCAATGCAGGGCTGGCCACGCCCAGGGGCAAGGAGCCTGGGAAGGAACAGAACACAGCCAGCCCCCTCACAGACCAGGACGGCAGCACTGAGGGGGACAGGAGGGTCTGAGAGTTCCCGGCTGAGACACTCCATCCTCAGGACAGGCCTGTGTGCAGAGCCTCTGCCGATGTGAGTAGCCTGTAGCACAGACCAGGACCAGGCTCAGAGCTTCCTGTTGTCCAGGAAAGACCAAGGTTTCCATTAACAAGGAGGGACAAGTTCAGAGACCTGTCACAACATGGTGACATAATCAGTGGCCACGGATTGGGTACTTGAAAAAGAGAGGAACCACTTAAATCCTAGAAAAATGGTCAATTTTCTAAGAATTGTGCTCTGGGAGAGAAGAATCCTAAATGTTCTAGGAGATCAGATCTTTTTTTTTTTTTTTTTGATTATTATAACAGCAACCATCCTGAGCCTTGTCCTCAGCAGGAGGATGGTGACCATCCTGAGCCTCAGCAGGAGGACAGTCAGTATCCTGGGCCTCAGCAGGAGGATGGTCACTATCCTGGGCCTCAGCAGGAGGACAGTCACTATCCTGAGCCTCATCTTCACCAGGAGGATGGTCACTGTCCTGGGCCTCAGCCTCAGCAGGAGGATGGTCACTGTCCTGGGCATCAGCCTCAGGAGGCCAATGGTGACCATCCTGAGCCTCTGTCCAGGGCTGCTGAACAGGAGCTGAGCACATCCCCTTAGCCTTGAGTAACAGGGGTGTGGACCTGGCATTGCACGCAGTGTAGAGCAAGTGGTCCTTACCTTTGCTCGGCAAGGAGTGCAGCTCTGGGAGTGGGCATCACCCTCGCCTTATTGGGGTGGAATATTCTACCTAATGTCTTTCCCTTGATAACCACAGGGGTTCGGGRTGCGCTAGCTCTCTCCTGCCTCCCTTGCTCCTCTTGCCCTTGCTCCTCTAGCATGGGAGCTGACCCCTGAGGTCTCAGAGCCATCCCTGACCCCCCGCAAAAGGTATTTCTGTATGTGTGTGGTCTTTTCACTGCCAGCCCAATTCACGTGGAGTGACCCTGAATCCATCGCCTTCACATGTCGTGGGATATCAGCCTGGTCCTCAGCAGCTGGTTCTGTGGGGTCCATGAGGTGGACCTACTCTAGGTGCTTCCTGAAGTCAGGTTGTTCAGTAAGTCTCCCGTTTTAACTCACCTACTTGTCCCATTCTCCTGATCAAGTTGAGCGCCACACAGGCCTCAACCCAGCTTGCTCATTCACCACATTTCCACAACTTTTCCACTTCGTAAATCATTCTATTTACTTACTTTTGCACTACCCCCTTTCATATTGCCTCCAAAGTGACTTGTCTACAGCAAAACCCCCTGATCAATCTCTCGTTCCTGACACTTAACCCCACCCCACCCTCCCAGGCCAAGGCCACCAATTATGGGGCCAGCCATAAGATCTTTAGAATGATCCTGGACACCTTTCCCAATATGGCCCTCCTCCCTCCTCACACACACCACAGGGCACCTAAAATGCAGCTAAAATGGAGTTAAATACTCCAAGACTCGTATCTCCCCAGACGAACACTCCAGAGGTCCACACGAGCTCTCAATAGGTCCACACGAGCTCTCCAGAGGTCCTGATGAGTTCTCCATAGGTCCACACGAGCTCTCCAGAGGTCCACAGGAGCACTCCAGAGGTCCACAGGAGCACTCCAGAGGTCCACACAAGCTCTTCAGAGGTCCACACAAGCTCTTCAGAGGTCTACATGAGCTCTCCATAGGTTCACGTCAGCTCTCCAGAGGTCCTGATGAGTGCTCCAGAGGTCCTGCTGCAGGACCACTCTGCTCAGAGGTCCCCAGCCTCCCCAAGTACTGAGGGCCTTGCCCTCTCTGCTCATGGGGCAAGGTGGGTACAGCAGTTCCATGTGTCCCCATGGGCAGGACCCCATGGTAGGCACAGGCTGGAACTGCAGAGGGGAAGGGGGTGCCCTGGCTGRGGTAGAGCAGCCGCACTTGCCTGAGTCTCAGGCTGGTCCCTGACTYGCCTTTTCTTGAGGATTTGCTGGCCCACTCCTGGCAGGGCCAGCTGATCTCTTTTCATCCAGTCAACTACCTATGGGGTATGGGGGAGATGTGGCCTGGAGTACCCTTGAGAAGGGAAACATGAACTCTGCTCCCGGGTTTTCCAGTGTCTGGTGTATTGACTGTTTTGTCGGCGCCTTCCTGAGCCTCAGTTTCCCTGGGGAGAAGCTGAGAACCGCAATGTCCACCTCATTGTTGCAAGGTTTAGAGAAAATATATGAAGAACCTGGATGTGCCCASTATATAGTTGATGTCAAGAAGTGACCACTCTGGACAGATCTGTCTCCCCTGGACAGAGAGCTTCTGTGTGCCACCCCTCCTTCCACAGTCTGGAATAACATCTTCAGAGGTATCCAATGAAATACATGGAAGAAGAGAGAAGCTGGTTATATTGAAGCACAGGGACAGACATATTTTAAAACACAATATAGAAATGCACCTTTTATTGATAAATAACATTGTGTTGTGTCTAATAATATTTCAAAGTATCCAAGAGTGTTAGTGATAAGCCAGGATGCTTATAACTAACTGCTTGAATGTCACCTAGAAACACCAGTGAGTTCCATAGATGACAAGTGCCAGGTGTGGCTAACTCGCAGGTTGGCCACCAGCTGGTGTGCCTGAGGGAAGGTCTAACCTTGGCAGCACTAGAAAGACACAGCTTCTTCCCCTCCAAGTTCTCAGACCRTCTGAACTCCATCCACGAACCCCAGGCAATTGGTAGACCTCAAGTTACAAGCCTGCCCTGGATTGGGAGGAGGAAGGGTCCTTTTCCACCAAGATCTCAGTGATGCCTGCAGCAAGGTAATACCTAAAGGACCCGGCAAGAGAGCAGAATCAGGAAAGAAGGCCCCAGAGCTKCGGTTGGGCCTTCTTGCCAGACCTGACACCTGGAGGGGTCCGGCCTCTCCAGGGGCAGCCCTAGCTGGGGTCTTCCCCTGACTGGGTCAAGCCAGTGGTCTTCCACTTTCTATGCTTTGGAAAATAGCTGCTGGAACCTGAAGAAAGTGCCCAAGCTGGGACAGCTGACCCTCAGAGGGTTCRTGTCCAGGTTCCTCTCCCAGGGCCAAGTCCATCCTGGCTGCCCAAGGGGATGACAGCAGAAATTGCTGTGCGGCCTGAGAGCCAGGGTCCTCAGCTACCATGCCCATGGCTGTGTGACCTTGTCCACTCCCCTCTCTGAGCCCCAATTTGCTCATCTATAAAGAACAGAGACTGGGAGAGAAGTTTCTCACAGGGGCTCCAGGCTCTCATTTTTGCTGTTTGAGAATTCTCTGCCAAAAGAGATTCTCTGGATCATCTGCCACCTAAAAACTAAGTCTTAACACGTAATTTTAGTGTCTGCCTTTGAACGTGAATTTGACAGTCACAAGCAACAATACCATCTCAGCAGGCATAAGCCAGGAAGGAGAAGCAATAGGACACCCACAGGACAGCTGGACAAGTGGAGCCGGTGACATCACAGCGGCTGAGATGGGACATGCCCCTGTGGTTAGAAGAGGCAAAGCACAGAAGCCAAGCCCCAAGTTAAACGGGAGAGAACGGCGCTAACAGCCCCAGGAAGATCAGACCCCAGGCCAGGCTCCAGGCGGCCAGTGTTACACAGTGACAGAGACCTTGTTTTCCATGATGCTATCTGTAGATGTGTTCACACTGGATTGGAATTCGATTTCTGCTCATCCAGCACAAGAGCTGTCAGCATCCAAAGCTCACAGGGAGTTCCACGTTTATCCATGTCTCAGTACCTTTATTACAAAGCCAAAAACTACTTAAGACAACGTTGGAGGCATCTGTCATTTTTTTTTTTAAAGAGGGAGGTCTCAATACTAATTTTGAGAAATAATGAATTTTTACAGTATCTCTGGAGGCAGGGGGTGTGGCTCAGTGGTAGAGCGCTCACATAGCATGTGTGCGGCCAAGTTCAAACCCCATCACCGAGAGGGGGTGGGGGCCTGTGGGGGCCCCTTGCAATGGTTAATTCCCAGAGAACAAAGTTAGACTGGCACTGAGGTGTGGGCCAGGGGCCATCTGAGCTGGGAGGAAGACTTTGCGTATCCTCTGCTGCCCTCTTCTGGCCATGAAAGGCACCGGCGGGGGAATGTTTGTACAGGGGAGCAGGTGGTACCTGGAAGTGACCTTTGTTTGCAGAAGCTCTGCCCAGAGCTGGGCCCCAAACCCTCTGAACTTTTATGCCCTAAATCCATTTGCAAGCAAGCGCTGTCCCTGCCTATGGGCAAGCCGTGAGGGACAGAAGTGATCCAAGATAGATGAGGAGAGGGGACCATCCCCAGGTGGAAGGTAACCCTCCCCCTGTGTGTGGTGACCCTCCCCAGGTGGGAGATGACCTTCCCCAAGTAGGTGGAGATGACCTTCCCTGAGTACGTGGAGACCCTCCCTATGTGAGTGGCGACCCTCTCCAGGTGAGAGACGTGGGTCATGAAGACCCTCCACAGGTGGGAGGTGACCTTCTCCAGGTGGGAGACACCTTCCCCAGGTGGGTGGTGACCCTCCCCATGTGAGTGGCGACCCTCCCCAGGGGCCAAGCCCAGGGGAGTCTCCAGAGATTTCATGGTGGCTCTGAAGATGGAGCCCTGCCGGGTTTTCCACTTGGTGCCTGTTCCGGGCCCTGGCCTGGTCTCCAGAGCAGCTGCCCAAAGGAAGGAGGCCTGCTCCTCACAGCAGAGATGCACAGGGCCAGGCTTACTCCACATGCTGGTGTCCGACAGGCCTCTGCAGTGACCAACCTGCTGTGGAGAAAAAGCAGGGTGGAGCCCAGGAGGCCCCTGGAGCAGCAGCCCGGGACCTGCCCTGCCACCCGGCAGCTCCTCCTGGATCTGCTCCCATGAAGGCTCTCAGGGAAGGCCACATTTGGGGGTCAGGTCCTGGGCTTATGGGGTGCTCCACAGGCCCCTGGGGAGTGCTTAGGTAGGGCAGGAGACCCCAAACCGGCCAGCGCTGGAGTGGAGGAAGAGGGGCTGCAGGGACCCAGCGCCTGCACTGGGAGCCTGTCCTCTGCCCTGGACAGCTCCGGCCTATCCTGCAGCTGCTAGGCCTCCTCCTGCTTTGCCTCTCCCCAGCTGCCCGGCACCAGTGGACGTCTGTAGGGTAGTCCCTGGTCCAACAGGACCGGAGTCCTTACAGAAAGCGGAAGTGCAGACCCAGACGCAGGGAAGACCAAGTGCAGGCTGAGGGAGCAGGTGCCATCTGTGGGCCAGAGGGACCCTGGAATGAAGCCAGCCCTGCGGAGCCCTGCACGTCCACCCTGCAGAGCTGAGGAGATGGGCTATTCTTGAGCAGTCAGTGTCACATGTCAACCTGAGCCAACAGGTACGTGAGCATGCACATCCACACACATGCCACACGCACGCACACAACGGGCACAYCTACACACATTCCATGCACACGCACACACACCACACACACCAGACACACGCATGCCATGCACACACATGCACACACCAGGCACATCTACACACACACTATGCACATACACCAGGCACATCACACACACCAGGCACACACATGCACATGCACACGCACCATGCACATCAGCACACATGATGCACACGCAAGCACACACACACGGCACACACATGCACACCATGCACATCTACATACACATGCCATGCATGCACATGCACATACACCAGGCACATCACACACACCCCAGGCACACACATGCACATGCACCACGCACATCAGCTCACATGATGCACACACACCAGGCACACACATGCACACTCACCAGATACACACACATGCACACACACCAGGCACATCTACACACACATACTTCAATGAAAGCAGGCCCCTCATGCCAAGTGAAGCTGGAGCGAGGCTGCATCCTGTGGTGGCACCCGCTGGCTGGCTGGGAGATCACAAACCCTTCACCTCCATGAGCCTCAGGCTCCTCTCCTGGCGGTCACCACATGTGGCCTTGCAGGTCTGCCCTGAGGATCAGGTGAGGTGACGCACTCCACACTCCCAGAGAGAGCACAACTCTGAGGCCGCCGCACCTCTTACCATGAGCAGGATCCAGCACTTTTAAGCCACCCTGTGTCTTTTACCAACTACCTTCTGAAGGGGTCTTCTTGCCTGGAGGCCGCCTTCCCTGGGTCTGCGGCTCTGCAGGAGTCCACGGTGCCCAGCTGTTCTGGGCACAGGTTGGAGGTGGATCTGGCCCAGCCATGGGCTCTGCTGGGGTTATCTGGGAACTGAAAGCCTCAGTTGGGCCAGTGGTGGTCCTGCCAGCCGGGCCACCAGCCTTGGTGACCTACAGTGACACCGATGACACAGGGGTTCCCTCTCTTGGGCCATTCGCCACTGACCAGGGGCTGAGCCCTTCGTAAAGCACTTTCCAGACTTTGATTCCTTCACTTTACAAACAAGGAGAGGGGGCTCAGAGAGGTTGGGTAACTTGTCCAAGACCAAACAACCAGCAAGTGGTAGAGAYGGCAGTGAGGCTGAGGGTAGGGCCTGAAAGCACCCACAGGGGAGGGGGAGAAAACCCCAGAGGGGACATACAGGGAAGGACATACGGGGAGACCCACAAGAACACAAGCACTATCCAGGAGGCTCTGGGATGAAAACTGCACAAGCTCAAAGCCACAGAGCCGAGCTCCAGCCCATCCCCTGCTCCCTCACGGTGCCACCTGGCTGGCCATCACCCCTCAGAGCCTGGGTTTCCTCCTCTGTAAGGTGGGGAAACAGCAGCACCCACTGATGTAATCCACATCATTGGATTACATGAGCCAATTTTTGCAAACTGTCAAATGGCTTGTAGCTGGGGCTCTTGGGGCCACCAGGGGAATTTCTCCCTCTACAAAAACATTTAAAATTCTATTACATAAAAAAATAATAAAATAAAATTCTATTACACAACTGGGTTGGTGAAGGATAAAAATAACCATTGCTCTTTTATTGAGGGGGGTACCAAGGATTGACCTCAGGGGCGCTTGACCACTGAGCCACATCCCAGCCCTATTGTGCATTTTATTTAGAGACAGGGTCTCACTGAGTTGCTCAGTGCCTCGCTGTAGCTGAGGCTGGCTTGGAACTCGTGATTCTCCTGCCTCAGCCTCCCTGGTTTTACAGGTGTGTACCACCAGCCTGGCCACATTGCTCTCCTTTGATTTAAAACAAAAACAAAGACAAAAACATTTTCAGGGGCCTGGAACAGTGGGGCGCTGCCTCAGCCAGGGCCTGTTGGGCCTAAAGGGAGGAGAGCCACTGTGGGACTGGAGTCCTAGAAACTGTCTAGTTGTGGGCTTTGAAGCATATCACTCTGCAGGAGTCTCCTCCTGCCCTCCGGTCCTTCCCTGGGGCTCCCAAAGCCAGGCCTCCATGTCCATTGTGCCAGCAGCTGGTGCCCTCACACCCTCAGTCCTGGAGCACCATGGAGATGCTGTGTTCTGACGGAATGCCAGGTGCCCACTGGGTCAGGTCACAGCAGCCCTGAGGGTGGGACCAGTGTCCTCCGGCAGCAGTTGACCCTGTGCCTGTCTTCCCTGGACTCCTGGCATGCAGGGCAGGAGGCCAACTCTGAGGGTACAGGATGCAGGTTTGCCTAAAGCTCCTCCCAGTGCCACAGGATCTGAACTCAGTGACACAGGCAGCTCTGCCCTGGCCCCGAGTTGCAAGCAATAGGCTGCTCGGCTGGGTCTGCACACCTGCTACCAAGGCTTGCCTCTGGCCCCTGGGGTCCCCACCTCAACCCTCCATACTGCAGGTGCCAGACCCACTGAGCAGCGTCCAGAGAGCCTCCTGCCCTAGCTCTTTAGGAGGAGGAGGGTGTCAGGGTGGCTCCAGGCCACTCCAGCCAGCTAAGCGGAGGCGCTCGGGGAGCCACCCCTCCACCGCTGACTCAAGTGCTCCACCGTATCCCGAAGCATCAAGGTCCAGTCGTCCTCCCTCTGCATGGAGGTGCTTCGTGTCTCCTTGTGCTCTAGGGCCAGGATATCCTCTGGGGTCTCCGGGGTCAGCCCAGCAGCCAAGACGGCCTCAGGAAACTTGGCTGCAGAGGCAGGGGCAAGGCAGCACCTGGGAATGCTGTAGAGGGTGGGCAGCAGGGGCAGATGGGTAGCAGGAGGGTGGGCAAGGCGAAGACAGAGGAGGAGGAAGGAAGAGGAAGGGCCCGACAAGGAGGCCCAGGGAGGAAAGAGGGACGGTCAGTACTGACGGGAGCCTAAAACTTAGCTGAAACAACCTGTCCTTGCCAGACTCCATCGCCCCCTGCTGGCACCCTGGGTATCCCCTCCTTCCTGCTCTAGGCCACAGAGCCAGACAGTTTCACAGGTACCCATCACACCACCGAAGCCCCTTCCCCATAATCCTGTCGCCCTGCTTGGGGAAGAACAGGGACCCTGAAAGTCAAAAGGCCCAGAAACCCAGACCCCATGGCCACACCTGGGCTGCTGCCCGTCCATCTGCTGGTAGTGGTAGCTCACGGCCACGGCCGAGTGAGGGCATAGCAGGTACCGGTTCTCCTCCCAGCAGCGGACCATGGCCCTGGCAATGGCCTCATCGGACACCGATTGTGACGTCACTGCCTCAGAGAGCTGGAGGGTCCAGGGCCAGAGGGGGGTTCAGGGGTGGGGGTGCGGGGCAGGAGGACCGAACCCCACCGCATGCAGCACAACAGACACCAGGGACTCTAGGGAGTGCTGGCCCAGCGTGCCCTCAGCCTCCCAGCCTTGAGCTGTCCAGCCTGGAGGGAGCTCGGCCGAGGTTTGAGGGCAGCTGGGACGCAGCTATAGACTCAGCACCTCATGTGCAGCCCGGCTCAGCCCAGGGCACACACAGCTCTGATGTGGCACCCTCCCCCACTCCTACTCAGCACAACCCGGCTCCAGGGGGCCCTCCTGGACTCAAAGAAGACCCCTTCTTGGTGCCCCCACCCACTATGTGCTCAGTCTGTGGTCATCCTCTGATCACATGCATAACGTGCTTATAACACGTGAACACCTGCACACGCTCCAGGCCAGCTCTAGGCCAGGCCACCTGGGCCGTACACTGTTCACATGGGCACCTCCCTGAGGAGTCAGAGAGGCAGCCAATTTCCTCCCTCCCTCTCTCCCTTCCTCCCTCCCTCTCTCCCTATCTCTCTCTCCCTCCCTCTCCATCCCTCTCCCTCTCTCTCTCCTTCCATCTCTCCCT